GGGCCGGCACATGCCAACCGGCCGTCTGTCTCCTGGTGGGTCGGGCCCATAGTCTCAGGTGATCTGCATAGTCGAGGCAACCGCCTGTCTTTGCTAAATGCTGACACAGTTGTTGCGAATTTCGATTGCAAAAAGAAATAGAAAACTCGTTGAAGACACGGTGCTTGAAACCCGCCTGCAAGATGATACTTGAAACCTGCCAGGTAGACGCACTCGGCGGTGCAAAAAACAGATACGCGTGCCGTGGTGCTTGAATCTGCCAGGTCGACACCCTAAACCAGCTAGTAACTTCCGGTGTTTCTTCACAAGGGTGCTTCCTCGGCGCTTTTCGGAATTTCTGGAACGTTTAGGAGTGTTCCTAAACACTTGTCGAGTATTTTGCAAAGATTTTCTAGATTCCAGGGATGAGGGTTACGGCTTGAGGGATTAGAATTAGGGGCTTTAGTTGCTTTTAGAATCTCTGGGAATGCTTGGGGCATGTTGGCCAAGCTGGGGGAACTCCCTACTACGGGCTTGAGGTTGTGGGTTTATGGCCCATCCGTTTCAACATTTCGGCTTTAGGACTTTAGGGTTTCAAAAAGGGTTCGAGGGCCTCAGCCCCCCGAGCCAGTAAAAGCACAAAAACCGTTCATTCATGTTACACGACAGGGATCCCAAGCAGAGTCGAAGCGGAAAACACAACTCCAAAACCAGCAGAAAGTTGCAAACTAATCCATCAACTTACGAAAACTATCAACATTAAACAAAAAACATACAACGGTTCAAACAAACACAAAAACTAGTTTCTGGATTGTGTTTTGTTCCTCCCCTTTTTGCCAGCTGGCAGGGGAACTGCTGCCCCAATGTTTTGCGATGATGTTTCTGGGATTGAATTTCTGAGCTGAAGCACTGTCATGAAGGTGAAACAAAAGTCAGCCGAGAAGCCAGGTGGCCGTTACATCGAAAAAGGACCACGGCCATCATGTTTTCGAGGGTTAAAGGATCTCGGAAGTTGGCTTACATTAACGGGGTAAAATTTTTGCAATCTGCCCCAATCAATGCATCAGCAGCAAAGGCACAGAAGTTTCGGGAAGCTTTGGGAAGCTTCGGAAAGTTTAGCAAAGTTTCCGGAATGTTTAGGAATTTTCGTGATCTGGACCAACATTCACAAGACCCGCCCTGGATAAGAAACACCGCAAGTTCTTAGAAAACTAAACACGCGTAGACAACAGATGCTCTTGCCATGGTGCTTGATAGAATCCTGTCAGGTCGGCGCACTAAACCTGCGTAAAGATACCAAGCGCGCGGAAGTCAAGCAAAGTCAGTGAACAAGCTGCGCAATCGCAGTGCCGCAATTCCCATGTTGCACAAGCAGATTTGCTGCTGCTGCTGCTGCTGGTG